CTGACGTATGTCGTGTACAAGGGTAAGGTTCCCGGAGTCTACGACGACTGGGAGGAGTGTCGGAGACAGGTTACCGATTCAGCGGTAACAGTTACAAAGGGTACACCACTAGGGCCGAGGCCGAATCTAGATACGCCCGCTATCTAGCGGGAGAGGGGAGGGAGCGTTGGAGGAACCGGATGAAGACGAGTTTCATCGTGATGATGCTCATCGTGATGACCGCAACTCTCTTCTATGTGATGGTAGTTTAGATGATCGATATCGACTTGTAATGTGAAGACAAACTCGCTACTCGCGGTCTCGAGACTTGTAATATAATGTTCTATCTTTGTTCGGTCTTTTCAATTCGGAGACTAATATGATGAATTGTATTCGGAGACTAATATGATGAATTGTATTCAAAGACTAATCTTTTATTGTATTCGATGAATCTGTTGTTGATGTGTGCTGTCTATATTTTGTCCAATTATACATTTTGTAACCTGTGCAAAAAACAGAAAATAAAAAATAAAAAAAACTAATATTCATACTAATGGCGCATCACATCACAGTGCGCCATTAGTATGACAAAGTATACTAATGGCGCATCACTAAACAGTGCGCCATTAGTATGCCGAGGTTACTAATGGCGCATCTTGTTGCCGTGCACCATTAGTATGCCAGAGCACCTGGGTATACATGGCCCCTGGGAGGCATACTAATGGTGCACTTATGTATACACTAATGGCGCATCAGAGGTGCACCATTAGTATACCAGATACTAATGGCGCACCAGTTGTGCGCCATTAGTAAAATATACTAATGGCGTGGCACTAATGGCGCACCACTAATGCGCCATTAATGGCCAAATTAGGTGCGCCATTAGTAGGCCTTTTCCTAGTAGTGGAAGATGCGGAGCTCAGCATAGGAGGGTGGCGTGCCAAACAAGAGGTGATGAGGTGCAAAATTCCCGCGAGTGCGACAAGGACGAATGTTAATGAGTAGTGATGCGGTGGCAAGCGCGTCGGGCCAAAAACGTGGGGGCACGTTGGCGTGAAAGAGGAGGGTGCGAACACAGTCATTGAGAGTGCGAAGCACGCGCTCAGCGCGGCCGTTTTGTTGCGAAGTGTACGGGCAAGTGAGACGAAAGATGGTGTCGTGTGTGGCGAGAAGGTTGCGGATCGCAAGGTTATCGAACTCCTTCCCATTGTCTATTTGCAACGCATGAATGGGACGTCCAAACTGCGTGGAGACATAGGAGTAGAAGGCGGTGAGAGTGGCAACAGAGTCCGACTTTCGCCGCAACGGGAAGGTCTAGACATAGTGCGAAAAATCATCAAGTATGACAAGGTAATAAAGATAGCTCGTGTTACTTGCAACAGGAGAGGTCCAGACATCACTATGAATTAACTCAAACGGGTATGAGGCGACATGCGAGGAATTGCTAAAAGGAAGACGAACATGTTTGCCGAGGCGACAAGCATGACAAGTGTGATCGTCGATCTTATTACACGTGAATGAAAAACTCCGAAGAATATGACGAAGGGTGGCGATGTTGGGATGACCGAGACGAGTGTGCCAAAGGTCCACTCCGGCGGAAAGCGGCATGGGTGCAGCAACGGATGAGGTAGGTGAGTGGACCGGGTAGAGCTCGTCGGGGCTGTCACATCGGTGGAGCACCATCCGGGTACGGGCATCCTTGACAGAAAAGCCAAACATGTCAAATTCAACGGTAACAGGATTTTCACGTGTGAGAGAACGAACGGAAACAAGATTTTTAATGATGTCAGGAGAAACAAGCACATTAGAAAGATATAATGGCATGGAGTTAGAAGAAAAAACAGTATGGCCGACATGAGTAATGGGCGTGGAAAAACCGTCACCCACGGTAATGCGAGCAGCGGTGTGAACGTGGTGAGCGGCAAGACGGTTACCGGGGTTGGCGGCCATGTGAGCCGTGGCTCCGGTGTCCATATACCAGTCGCCACCGCCAGTGTACTGCTGCGGCGTGGGGGCGGTGTGGAGAGCCGCTAGGAGCGCGGGATCCCAAGGCGCCGACGGGAGGGCCGGGGCGGACGGCGCCGGCTGAGGCGGTGGCGCCACAAACCCATAGCCCGAGGGGCCGTAGAGCGGCGCGGGCTGGTACACCCGAGGGGCCGCGTACAGTGCCTGGTGAGGGGCCGGGCGGGCGCCAAAGGAGCCGGGGACGGGGGCACGCGGTATAGGCATGGAATACGCATGCACAACCCCCGTCCAAGGGTTCTGGCTGGCCTGCCAGGGCACCGGCGGTAGCTGGTGGTGCGGCTCGCGGGGCGCCCCGCCATGGGCAGCCGGCTGCTGCGGCTGCTGCTGCTTGCGGCCACCTCATCCGCGACGCCCGCCCCGGTGCTGCTGCTGCTCGGCGGGGGGCAGAGGGGCCTGCGGCGGCACCGGGTAGGGAAACCTGGGCGGCGGTGGCGGCGCCTGGATGGGGCCTGGGGCGGTGGGCGGCGCACCGCCACAGGGTACCGGCGGTGACGGCCGTGTGAGTGGCTCGGGTGCGTGACATCCGCATCCGCCGCTCCTCCAGCTTCAGGTACGCGACGATCTTGGGGAAGGTCGGGTTGGTGATGAGGGGGATGTTGGAGGCGGCGTTCCCGAAGTCATCGTTCAGGCCGGCGGTGAGGGTGCTGAGGAGAAGCTCATCAGAGACCTTCTCGCCGAGGTCACGAAGCTCGTCAACAAGCTTCTTGAGGCGCATGCAATAATCGTCAACAGACGACTCAAGCTGCTGGCACCCAAAAAACTCGCCGTGCAAGAAGACCTTGCGTTGGAGCGCGTTGTCGGTGAAGAGGCCGTTGAGCTTGGTCCAAACGAGGTGAGCGTCATCGTCGGCGGAGACCACCGTGTGGAAGAGGTCCTTCGAGATGGTGGTGTAGAACCAACGGATGAGAGTGGCGTCGATGACCGTCCACTCCTCATCGTCCTCCATGAAACGGGAGCCCACGGAGCCATCGATGTGATCCCGGAGATTGTGCTCACGGAACACAAGGGACAAGTACGTCTTCCAGGTATAGTACGTGGAGGTGAGGTGGTCGAGGATGACGGGAACCCGGGCGAGGATGTTGAGTCGCGGATGACGACGGGATCGGGACCTTCGAACGGGTTGGTGCGGCGGCTGCGGGAGGTACCGGTGGAACCGGGGGAGGCCATGGCCTAGAGTGGTGGTGCGGCGGCGCTTGGGCGGCGGCGCGGCAGGGAAGAAAGCGGCGCTGCTTGGGGCGGCGCGGCGGGGGCGGGCGGAAGCGCGGGCGGCAGCGGCAGACCAGGGCGGCGGCAGACCAGGGCGGCGGCGCGGCGGCGGAGGTTCGCGGCGGCGGCAGCGGCGGCACGGTTAGGGTTAGGATCGTAGGTATGATACCATGTTGGAAACGATTGTTTTGGCAATGCTTCACGATGTATTGATCGGTGCAAAGCGCACGTATATATGAAGTACAAAGTGGGCCACAATCTCAACTATACAAAGACTAGGAGGTGGGCCAGGCTATACAATATACATGCATAAACCATATATTCAACACTTGTGAACTTTAGGGAATCTCCTCCTCGCTAATTCACATGCTGCTGTCCGTAGCTTTCCTCACTTTACTCTGTAGGTAGGGACTCCAGTTTAGGACAAGTGCAGGCAGGGAGCAAACAACAGGAGCCATAGCTTGGGGGTGGGGGGTTCCCCAATCCGTAACCACTGCAGAATCCACGCAAAGAAGCATGGTCCGATCCCTAAACAGCATTAACACAGAAGCAGTGCCCGAGCGGCATCTACCGTGCAGCTTGCATGGCCAGTGGCATTGAGCCCGCGCCGCTCCCCGGTACCCTGGAGAATGAGACCGCCTTAGGGACGACGGTCAGACGGTGGCCGCGCGGTTGGAGGACCCTAGTAGGAGCCTCCTGAGATCGGCCCGTCCTCGGAGGCGGCGGGCGCTTCGGGGACGGCCCAGCCGCGCGTCCTCGCAGGAGAGCGCGGCAATGGCAATGACGTCGGTGGCGCAGGGAAAGGGGTCACGCAGGCAGTAGTCGAAGATGGCGGCGAGGGCCGCCAGCGTGGACATCGCGGTGATGGCGGCCTAGTCGCTGGTGAGCACGCTGGCATCAAGTTACCCGGCGGTGAGGGCATGGGCCGTGGCGGAGGTGAGGACGAGCGCGGAGAAGGAGGAGGCGGAGTTGGCCGCCGTGAGGAGGAGCTTTTGCAGCAGCACCATGGAGGCGGAGGAGATGGGTCCGGCAGGAGGAGCTTGCGCAGGGGTTTTCTCGTCTGATGGAGAGGAGAGGAGCAACAGGAGGGGTGGATGAGGACGGGGCCGTCTTGTGAAATTTCTCAAGAAAGATAATTCTACATGATAGTCTAGGCTGTTTGTGATTAAATCTGTTAGTGTGTTGTTACTAAGCTCTAAAAGTACTCTAAATTCAACAACCAAGCTAGTCCTCATGGAATTGGCCCGGAAAGTTGGTTCTGCCCAAAGTCCAATTTATAAAGTTTTGTCAGATTGCCAAGGCTATTGGGGATGGGACCTGTTAATGCATTATTTCTAAGAGACAAGTACCTCAAGTTGACCAAATAACCTAATTCTCGGGGAATATGGCGGGAAAGTTGGTTATTGTCAAGATACAAGCCAATGATTTCTGTGAGACTGCCTAGGTTGTTTGGGATGGAGCCTGTCAGTGTGTTGTAGCTAAGCCCCAAGTAGTATAAGCTGACTAAATAACCTAGTTCTCGTGGAATTTGCCTAGAAAAGTTGGTTATTGTCAAGGTACAAAGTGTAGAGTTCGTTAAATTTCCTATGCTATTTGGGATGAAACTTGTTAGTGTGTTGTTGCTAAGCACCAACTGCTCTAAGTTCTCAAGGCGACCTAGTTCTCGAGGGATGTGTCCAGAAAGTTGGTTCATATAAAGATATAAGATAGTGAGTTTGGTCAAATTTCCTATGCTATTTTGGATGGAACCAGTTAGTGTGTTGTTGCCAAACGACAACTCCTCTAAGTTCTCAAGGTAACCTAGTTCTCGAGGGATGGAACCAATTAGTGTGTTGTTGGTAAGAGACAAGTACTCTTAAGTTCTTAAGGTAACCTAGTTCTCGAGGGATGTGCCCAGAAAGTTGGTTGCCGCCAAGGTACAAGGTTGTGAGTTTGGTCAAATTTTCTATGCTATTTGGGATGGAACCTGTTAGTGTGTTGTCGCTAAGTGCCACTTGTTCTAAGTTCTCAAGGTAACGTAGTTTTCGAGGGATGTGCCCAGAAAGTTGGTTGCTGCCAAGGTCCATAATTGTGAGTTTGGTCAAATTTCCTACGCTATTTGGGATGGAACCCGAGAGTATGTTTTCACTAAGACCCAGGTACTGTAAGTTTGAAAGGTAATCTATTTTTTGTGGAATTAACCCAGAAAGATTGTTTCCCGTTAGTATTAACAAAGTAAGCTTGGTCAAATTATGTAAATTCCGTGGGATGGAACCTGAGAGTGTGTCGTCTCTAAGTGTCACTTGTTCTAAGTTCTCAAGGTAACGTAGTTCTCGAGGGATGTGCCCAGAAAGTTGGTTGCCATCAAGGTCCATAATTGTGAGTTTGGTCAAATTTCCTACGCTATTTGGGATGGAACCCGAGAATATGTTTTCACTAAGATCTAGGTATTCTAAGTTCGCAAGGTAATCTAATTCTTGTGGAATTAACCCAGAAAGTTGGTTGTTGTGAAGGGACAAGGTTGTGAGTTTAGTCAAATTTCTTATACTATTTGGGATGGAACCCGAGAGTATGTTTTCACTAAGACTCGGGTACTGTAAATTTGAAAGGTAGTCTATTTTTTGTGGAATTAACCCAAAAAGTTTGTTTCCCCGTAGTATTAACACAATAAGCTTGGTCAAATTATGTAAATTTCGTGGGACGGAACCTGAGAGTGCGTTGATGCAAAGTTGTAGGTCCTTTAAGTTTAGAAGATAACCTAGTTCTCGTGGAATTTGTCCAGAAAGTTTGTTACTGTAAAGATACAAGCTAGTGAGTTCGGTCAAACCACCTATGCTGCTTGGTATTTTACCGAAAAGATTATTACTGGACAAATCTAATGCAACTAAGTGCTTCATGTGTCCTATTTCACAAGGGATATGACCAACCAAGTGATTGCATGACAAGTTGAGGGTGAGAAGACTACTCATGTTGCCTATTTGGCTTGGTATTTCACCGGAAAATTCATTTTCGTGAAGCATTAAGGAATGCAATTTTGTGAGATTTCCTAGACCTAGTGGGATTGAGCCTCTTATCTGATTGCCTTGCAGAAGGAGAGCATGGAGCTCGTCAAGGACCTCGATACTAGGAGGAATGCTCCCAGCAAGGAGGTTATGTGAGAGGTCAAGGTGTGTCAAGGTCCTCAAGGCCGAGAAGTTGAGAGACTCCAGAGCCCCTCTTAGCCGCATACCCTGCAGAGAGATGCCGCTGATCACCGGCCAATGCTGGTGTCGATGCACACCAGGATCGCAACTGATGCCGCGCCAGTTGCAAGGCGTCGACGTGTTTCCCCAGGAGTGCAGGGCCTGCTGGCTTTGGTTGTAGAAGATATCTTTCCAGACGAGGAGTGCTCTTGCTTGTCCTTCGAGCACCACTGCATCCGACGACGCAAGTGCGACGGACGTGGCCATGACCATAATCAGTATGGTGATGGTGAGAGAGGCAAGCATTTTGGGTGGTGGATGCATATCCATGACTAGTTAGCTAGGCTGGATGGAATTGGCTCTGGTTCTGGTTCCCAGTGTTGATGGCATCACATTAAATAGCCGAGCGCACATATGTAGATATGTTAACGGAGAATACATGTCAAAGAAGAGAACAAGCGTGGCCATGCTTGTTGGAGAGTTACGGCCAGCTCCAGCTAAGAGGTCAAGTCGTCATTCTTGTCGGAGGCACATGCTTACTGATTTGCGGATGGCTGAGTTGCATGTCTCACACGGCACAACAATATTGTACTAGCTTCCAAACATTCGATGGATACATACCAAACCAGGCTGTCGTGCTCTTGTTGCTTAACCCAGAGAACGGAAAACTATAAATTGTACTACGGACTTCGAAGCATCCAAGACTAAGATAATACTCCTGCTTCCGGACAAGCACGACGTACCTGTTCTAGCTGTGCGCATGTGCGGTGGAGTAGTAACCCAATTTTTTTGATTTCTTCACGGCATCAATACTAATGTATATAGGCAGGAAGCAGTAATGTGCTGAAATCGTCTCATAGTATAGGCTGCTTATAGTTTATTGATTACATAGACATGCTTACCAGTTGGTAATATTACTTAGCATTTTAGTTTATTACGCAAAAATACAATGGAGTGTCTAAAATTACATAAGTATGTTCATGAAGTGGAATAATACAGTGACGATGTTCTTGCACGCGCAACGACCGTGAAGTCGTCAACACAACCACACCATCAACGATTTCACTAAATAGTCATTCGTGTTGGAGCACACCTTTGTCCATGCCCGTCTGGAGTCTAGACTGTATGAGAGTCTGCAGAACCTTCCATGCGTGCCTGACGGAGAGTATGCATGCATGAGAGTTACGGCCAGCTCCAGCTAGCGCTCAAGTCATTCGTGTTGGAGATAGCAATGTGCATACTGATCTGTGGATGGCTTGTTGCATCTCTCACACGGTAATATATGCTGTATGTTGATCATTCCAACACTTTGATTTTCTGGCGTAACCAAAATACCTGACAGAAACTAAAAGCTAGATTAATTTGCTGCAGCTGTACACAACACACTTACAGCTACACAGGCTGCTCCAAAGTGCTTAGCATTACGGAGACGATTTAACGGAAAAAAATTAGGGGTAAAATGGATTAGTTCAGACTCTCAAGAAAGCACTGCTTATTGTGCAACAAGACATAAAGGAAAACCTAACCCCCTGCTGCCACCTTGCTTGTGGGGGAGCGGTATATCTTAACTGAGGTTTGTGTTACAAGGAGGAGTTGGAAAGGTAGAGCAGAGTGTATGTTGTGCAGCGCGGCAGAAACCGAGGATCGCATGAGATTTGTGTGCTCACTGTTTCTGAATATTTGTGCTGCGCGGTCAAGTGTGCACTCTGGATACTCAGGTTGCTCCTGTTTCTATTCTTTTGATTGAGCAACGCGGGGATTGAACGGGTTGTGTGTTATCATGATTCTTTCGAGTGATGGTCTATATATGTAGCTGAGAAGTGAAGCTTACCTGCCGGAGATCCACTGATGATGAAGGCAGTGGACAAAGATGGACACTCAGAACTGATGCATATAAAAACAGACTGCAATTGTGCTTCCTCTGCTTTCTGAACCCTGAATACTTGCCTGTCGCTTCCTCTGCTTTTGCTCTGTTTTCTCAACCCTGCTTTACCTGTAGTTAGCCTCCTCTACTCCTTTGTTTTCTCAACTCTGAGTATTTGGCTGTAGCATGAGGCATTAGGTCGATTCGACAATAATGGACAGAGATCCTCCTCACACTAATGGCGGCTGCGTTCTATCATCTCTGCTTTACCTTTAGTTAGCATCCTATGCTTTGCTCCGTTTTCCCAAGTCTGAACATTTGCAAGTCCCTTACTCTGCTTTTGCTCTGTTTTATGAGCTATTAATATTTGGTTGTAGCTTCAGGCCAGAAAGACAATCTTCCTCATTCAGATCACGCTAATGGCAGCTGCTACCTACCCTCTCTTTCTTTTCAATAACAAGGATAATACACACTAATTGCCAGACACATAATCTTCCTCCTTCCGATCACGCTAATGGCGGCTGCTATCTATCGTCTCTTTCTTTTTAATAACAAGGATAATAAACACTAATGGCCTGACATATAATCTATCCTCTCAACTGCGACGCGGCGGCTAGAGTATGCATGACTTATGGCTGTCTGTGCGTTCTAAATATGCCGGATACAACCGAAAATCCTATTCTGCTCCTGAGCTCAAATGCTCCCTTATGAACAGTAAAATCAGAAAAAAGTAAATAAATTACAAAAATTCTGTTTTTTGTGGTAGACTTTGACAAGTGTTATGTATGCTTGCAAAAGTTCAGCGCAAAATGATATTCGTGGAAGGCGTGACAAAAAAGACACTCCATTTTTTTTCAAAACTAGCATTTTTGGAACATCGATTTTACTTTTTTGCGACGACTTCCACAAATGTCACTTCGTGCTGAAATTTTGCAAACATACAAAATATTTGTCAAAGATTACCACAAAAAAGTTTAGAATTTTTTAAATGTATTTACTATTTTTTTGAGTTTACTGTTCATAAGGGAGCATTTGAGCTCTGGAGTAGATACTCCATATCCGGTTACAACACTTTTTGGTGTTGTAAGGAAATACACACTTCTGAATTTCTTGTTTTTGAAATTCAGAACTCAGAAGTGTGTTTTCCCCCTTTTTTGCGGTTCGCTGTAGGAATGAACCCCAATTTGCAAGTTTCATCACCCTACAGAACATATTTATAACATCCCTAAAAAAAAGAACATATTTATAACATACTAAATCTTAGACATGCTCTTCCACTTTCAAGAGCATCCTGCATCACAAAACCTTTCTTGCGCGCACACACGTACTCGAATTTTTTATAAAACTATTAGTATTAGTATTATTTTAACAAATTCAGAAAATGTATGCCCTAATTCAAAATTTTCAAAAGTATAACCCCGTCGGCCTCACTAAAGCCAAAAAGGCACTCTTCGGTCTCACTTAGGCCGAAGAGTAGTCTTTGGTCTCGCTTGCACCGAAAGGGCACTCTTTGGCCTCGCTTAGGCTAAAGAGTGGTAGAACTGGGCCGAAGAGCTCTTTGTTTTTTGCCAGGCCGAAGTTGCATGGTCGTCAACCTAAATTAGGCCGAAGTTCATTCTTCGGCTTTATAGTATTCGGAAAATGCTCAGCATAAGGAAAAAAAATTGTTCATCACGTATTTGTAGAATGTTAGCCACGTATTAAAAAATGTTTATCATGTACAAAGAAAAAAGTTCAACCTGTATTAAAGAAGTGTCATCGAACACTAAAAATATATCACCTTGCATTTGATAAAATATTAATCTTGTAATCTGTGATAAGAAACCATTCAGCATGTATTCAGAAAACATTATCCTGTATTTTAAAATATATTCATGAGGTATTTAAGAAATTTTTAATAGCATACTCCAAATATGTTCATCTTGTATTAAGAAAATGTTCAACCTATATTAAGAAAATGTCACTGGTAAAATAATATTACTACTGAACGAGCAAACTAAAGATTTAAAAATAAGAAAAATATTTAGAAAAGAGCGGAAACACTAAAATTGTTGGGAAGGCAACCAGGTGGATTAAGAAAAAAAAGACTTCGACCACGAAAAAACCGATGGCCATGCAATTTCGGGTTGGCGAAGACCAAAGAGCTCTTCAGCCCAGTTCTGCCACTCTTCAGCCTAAGCGAGGCCAAAAGAGTGCCTTTTTGGTCTAAGGGAGACCGGAGACTACTCTTCGGCCTAAGCAAGACCGAATAGTGCCTTTTCGGCTTTAGTAAAGCCGATGGGGTCATACTTTTAAAATTTTCGACTTAGGGCATACATTTTCTGAATTTGCTAAAAGAATAATATATTTTATTAAAAAAATCCATGTACTCACGTCCGCGGAAAAAACGTGCACAAACGAAATGGGCCCCAGAACGTCTGGGAAGCCGGGGAGGAAAAATGGATTTGCCGTCGGGGCACCTGAGGGGAGGAAAAAGAATAAAATGACACCACGCTCGGCTTCTCTCCCTCCCTCTCTCAAAGAAAGGGGGAAAAGGACACAGACCAATGCCGTCGCCCTCCACCACAGCTGGACGTCGCCGGCGACGAATCTCCGCCGCCGCTCTATCCATTCTTCTCCCTTCGCGCATCTTCGCGACCGGGGTTTCCTCTCCCCGGCGGAGGAACATGGGAGGGGAGAGGAGTACCGGCGGCGACAGCGGCCGGAGCGGGGGTGTGTGGAGATCCCGCGCCCATCGGACGTTACAGTCCTGTCGATCCAGGCATTAAATCCTCAAAGCGCGATGCAAGTCTAAGATTCTTCAACTGCGGTTCAGAATTCAGACGTATCTCTTCAATACAAGTATATATATTCTTCAGTGTGTAGGCTGTTTTGTTTTGTTATTAGGCGAATCTCATTCCGTAATTTCCTTTCACATTCGGAAATGTTCCTTCCTTTCTCCAGTAAAAGTGAAGGCTAGTTTCCTTTCTCCAATGCAGATATGTTGTTGACTGGGAAGAGGGCATCACAAGGCAAAGTTCTGATGATATATGCTGCACAAAGATTCTGAAACCTTCAGTTCGCGCACAGCAAGCGTTCATCAGGGACATTGGCACTGTAAGTCTGTAATAGATAACTACAGCCTTGTGTTTGCGTATGCACCAGGGGAGGCAAGCATCAAAATGGAACATGCTGACTATTCGATCCCTAACCTCTTGGCAAGTAGGCTAACTGTGTAACTCCTACTGTTTTCAGGCAAGTGCGAGAATATTCAGTCTTAACCGTCCTTCACATCACAAAAGGCACATGAATTTCTGCATCAAGGTGGTGTTTCCCACTCTGTGATCTCATGGTAAGTTAGTACAACAATGTGCATCATTGTAGATGCATCTGGTTTTAATGTTTAAAAAAATAAAAAGGGAGACTCTTGAATCGACTATTCGCACATTGTCTACATTAGTTACATTGCTTAGAATCCATCAACATTTTCTACACTGGCCAGTCCTCTGTTCCACAATTCCACTGGACCATCTCCCAACTGCTACCTTTTGAGGATTTCATAGGCGTCTCGGCATGGAAGAGCTAATCCAGCAGCGCAACAGCGTCTCCATAATGAAAAATTAGCACTCTGCTACCAGTGGGCAAGATATATATGTTCCACTCTGCTTCCTTGGAAATGGTGCTTCAGTTATTCCCCAAGAGTAACGACGTCTTCTCGTTGTGTTGTCCAAAAACCTGCCGCATCCTCTGGTTCTGTGAAGAAAGGAAGCAACTATCAGATGCAACCAAATTCAGCGAAACCGGCAACATGGATGCAACCATATTTAAAAATGAAAAAGGAAAAAGATAGATGCAACCAAATTCAGCGAAACCGGCAACATGGATGCAACCATATTTAAAAATGAAAAAGGAAAAAGATAGATGCAACCAAATTCAGTGAAACCGGCAACATGGATGCAACCATAT